GGTTATTAAAGTAAGAAATAGTGGCTCAGTGAATACTACACAACAATGAGACAGGTGACCTTGCAAAACTTTTAAATGTCTTTGGCATGTTTCAAGTTGTTTGGAATGTTAAATTTATAGTTTCTTAAATAATGAAATTGCAAGGTGTAACATGAGTATCATTTAGTCTGTTTTGTGGAACTAAATCTGCACCGATTCTGTAAGGGTTGCTTAACAAGAATGCTGTTTCCATTTCTAAGCAAAACACTTAACACAATGTATTAATACCAGTGTTGTTTTTTGACAGCCATCTTAGATTTAGTCTTAGTCTTCTGGACGAAAACTGTTATTAGTTTTAGCCACATTTTAGTTATTACGATATGTGATAGTTTTAGTTGGTTTTAGTCAACTAAAACTTAAAAGGGTTTTAGTCTAGTTTTAGTCGGTTTTATGTAGCAAAAAAAGTTAACCTTTACAATCTCAACCAGATTCTTTACCAAACTCTTGCCTAGATACTAAAATTGTTGGGAATAGAATGCTGCCATGCAGTTCATTATTGCTGTTGGGCAGAAAACTTTGATTTATAGAATTCAAATAAACTTGTTTATGTATTAATACCCTACTTTATGAAAAAGTGTCTCACAAAAGTTGTGAAAATAGAAGATCAAGTTAAATACAACATATTGGTTAATATAACTCACAGACAAGCTAAAAAAAATGTGCAATAAATGAATGATTTTAGACATACAAGGTTTCCATCCCAAAGCAAACACTTCCTGATCTACTATGAATAATGAATTACACACAGATCAATAAAATCTTAATTGCTTAAAAAAATAACAAATAACAAAAACCTTCTTCTTTCTATTTTGGCAATTGTGGCTTTATTTCTGAGAATTTGTACCTTAGTTACCGCTGCTCAGGGGTCAAAGTAGATTGACAACATAGAATTTTGTGTTTTCTTTACAAGTTAAGAAAAGCTGGGCTTATCAGAGGACCATGACTCATAGTGACAGGTAGAAATTAACACCTATCTGTCGTTTTGTTATTGAACAGAGAGAATCAGACTGCACAGTTTCTAGATATCTTGAAAATTCGTTGTTTTTTTGGCATCATTATAATAGTAGACAGGTTCATAAATCTGTTTTTAAGAGTAAAGAGTCACAAGTAGTCACAGCTGCAGATTTAAAGTTGAAACAGATTAGTGAGATATGCAACGTGAAATAAAATATAACACAAGTTTACTAGAAAGTTTATACTGTATGACAAAAAAATGCTAAGCTACATTTAAAATGCAACATATCTTTTTGTTTTTTTGTAATTCAGCAAGACTCAGTAATAGTTGTGCCAGCAAACCCAGATACAGAGTCCGACTCACAGGTGAGCCAGACTAAAAACTGAAATATAAGAAACCTAACAGAATTAAAACACAAATAATAGATTAAAAATCAGTTCATCAATTAATTGAAATATAACTTTCAATATATAGACTGTCAACGATATGCAGGACAAAATTCTGAAAAATATTTTGCTGCTTGTGAAGGTGGATAATCACTGATGCAGCTTAATGGGAAAATGTCCATCGATCCATCCATAGACTGACTTAGAGACAGACAGACAGACAGACAGACAGACAGACAGACAGACAGACAGACAGACAGACAGACAGACAGACAGACAAAAACCTAAAGAAAAGCGTTTGGGTTGTGTAACTGTAGGTCCATCAGCCACCACTCGAGTGACCCCACCGACTTTCATCACAAAGTTACACCCTTGGTTCTATATCAAAGAATTATCAATGTCTATTTAAAACTAAAGCATAGGTCAACATAATTCAATTCAGTTCGGTTTATTTCTATAGCGCCAATTCACAACACATGTCATCTTGAGGCACTTTACAGTTCAACCAGATCATACAGTCAGATTGATTCAAAGTTTTTTATCCAAGGAAAAGCAGTTGACTGCATCGACTCATTCACTCGAAGGCAATCCCTCACACTAAGCATGCTTGTAGCGACAGTGGAGAGGAAAAACTCCCTTTTAACAGGATGAAACCTCCAGCAGAACCAGGCTCAGTGTGAGTGGCCATCTGCTGAGGCCGACTAGGGTTCAAGGAGACGGAAGCTGAGATACAAAAGCAACTGTAACAGGCGGCCCCTTCCAGGAAACACACAGCCAGGCAGACGAGCTGAAAATGCTGAAGACATAATAACGTGTCTTCAGCATTTTAGATACTTTGTATTGGCTATATAGATATAAATATTGTTTACACTTTGACCACTGCTGCACTTTTTGTATAACTCGTGCCATTTGAAATATCAATGCAATGTTCATAAGCTGTATGTAACGCAATTTCGTTCTGTATGAACTCTGTGCATACAAAATGATAAATAAAGGAGTCTCGGTCTAAGTCTAAGTCTAAATATAGATATATCAGAGGGCAGAAGTGCTAGATAAATCAAATTTTTTGCCAGCCTCATTGTTTTTATAGAGGTAAATTGCACAGGGTCAGGGTTTCCATGCAATTAAAAGCAAAGTTAGTAATAGTTAATGAAAAAAACAAAAGTCACCAAACTCAAAAAAATATACCTTCTAAGCCTTGTGTTTCAGCTCTGACCTGCTAGCGACCCGCTATAAAGAACTGGAAAGCCAAAAACAATCTGCCATTCTAATTGCAGTTGGGGAACAGAATTGGTCCCTCTATACTTTTCATTGCGGAGTTAGCTGAGTTGTTTCTGCAGCTGTAAGACTACAGAAAGTGCCATGTCTGTAGATGTTAGAGACAGTGAGAGAAGCATTGTTGCTAATAGGTCTCTTGAGCCTTTCCCAATATTACACTTTTATGCTAAGATGGATAACATTAGAAAAAGAGGCCCCTAAGAACACTAAATCTAGTATAGAAAGTGAGTTTTGAGAGGCTTTCAGATTTTCACTTAAGATGGAAATTAAAAAATATTTAATTTTATAAATAAATATTTTTTTTCACTTAAAATGTTCGTTAGTCTGTAAAAGGATACTGTTATATAATAGTTTAATTGAGTCTATATAATAGTTTTATTTCAGTCTTTGCATAGCTTGTGTTTATTTCAGACAGAATGCATTTACTTTCACAACTCACCAGGTTTCTGCTAATATGCTTATCTTGAACCCAAATGGGCAAAGCAGACATTTCCATACAGAAAAAGTTGAATTTTACAGACTGCTGCTTTAACCGATTGTTCTTTTCCTCCAGAAAATCTTTGGCTTTTTGTTCATTTTAATTTGGAGACAAATGTTACCATGATCATATGCTTGTTGGTCCAAGGATTAACCACTCACTTTAAATGTTTCTCTTTTATGACTTATCAAAGAAAAAACATTTCCGTTCTAATTGAATGTTTGAAATTACATGAAAGATGATGGAATCAGAGGACTTGATTGGTTTATCCCTTTATTTATCCCATTGTTTATTGAACAATCGGATTTAACAAAAGATGTGTAGTTTGATGCATCTTAATGCACTTTTTAAAGTGATGCCAAAGTAACTGTCTATGCAACGATCAAAAATTAATCTAAATAGGGTAACCTATTGTTATATATATATATTACTTTATCACTAGTACATACAACTAAAATCATTTTATCTTACAAACTGCTGAGGTTTCTTTTCATATAAAAAAATGCATTCATTCATCTCCAACACAAATACAGTTACCAAATAACTTATGAATAATTACAAAAGGAAAGCAAAGATCTGGAGGAAGGCAAGAACCACCCCCAACATCTGGAATTGTACCCTCTATAATTAAAGGAACTACAACTATTGGATACATGTCTTAAATTTATAAAATACTACAAGAGAAAGCCACAGAAGACACACTTGTGCTCAAGAGTAAAGACGTGGAAAATTAGATGTTTCAGGAATGACTTCAACTATAAATTAAATATAAAACCAAAGCAAGGTTTTTAAGGACTCTTTTTGTCACATCTACAGATGGCTATAGCTCAGAAAAATACGTGAGAAAATTTGCACTGCAAGGAGACTACACGCCTAGATTTTGAGACCATCCAAAATGAACTGATTATAGCAAAGGCATACACACTTAAAACGATCACGTTTGGGAATTAACACTCTTCTAAACACCTTATATTATAGTAGGAATCATTCAATTCAGTTTATTTATATAGCTCCAATTCACAACACATGTCATCTAAAGGCACTTTACAGTTCAACTAGATCATACAGTCAAATTTATTCTACGTTTTCTATCAAAGGAAAACCATCTGATTGCATCAACTGATTTACTCAAATGCAATCCCTCACACTAAGCATGCTTGTAGCGACAGTGGAGAGGAAAAACTCCCTTTGAACAGGAAGAAACCTCCAGCAGAACCAGGCTCAGTGAGAGCAGCCATCTGGCGAGGCTGACTGGGGTTCAAGGAGACAGAAGCAGAGATACAAAAAAACTCTGCTATAGAAAACTGCAAATTTTGTCCCCCAAAGAATGTTTGAATATGATGCAATTCTTTCCTTTCTACAGCCACACAACAGGGGCAGGAAAATGTGCGGCATTAAACAGTTTAGTGACAACCATAACTAGGTGAAGTCACAGTAATATTACCAAATGTCTACCTGAAACTCCTTGCAAATTAGCGTTTTTTGAAACTTCATGGCTTTTCCAACAAACACACACAGCTTTTGTGTCCCAGACCCAAACTGTTTGCCAGTAATACAATTCAGATGTTGGCTTTGAGTGGACTAGGGAAAGCATAACAGATCAAATTAAATAGATATTTCATATCAGACTGTGACCTTCTGATTTCTGAAATGATAATGTCAAGACTTTTAATATTCTATACCTTCTGCCAAATTAATACAGCCTATCTTCATTACTGCAGCACTTACCAGTAACCTCCAAAGTGTCTGACACTGTGTCCTTCAGAGAATTCACAGACAATAATCACAAGGAGAGAAAAAAGGTCCTAGCGGTAAAATGTGTGTGTATGTTTAAAGAAATGTTTGAGGAAAAATGTTCACGCACCTTCATTTTGTTGGACTTAGCTCTTCAGTGGTGTCATAGCTGAAAAGAGAAAAAAAAAAACAGATGAAAAGATAAGGTCAAATATCTTATAATTACATGAAATACCTACATGTTTGCATTTGTGATAAATGAAGGGAGCAGTGAAACGCATATTTTAAGTCCACCATATTGTGGAGGAGGATTTCCTCCTCTTTTAAAAGCCCTTCTTTTCCACTTCTCCATGTCCGCTCACCAACATTGCCATGGCTAACAGGAAGCAGAGGGCACAACGGTTTATTTAATTAGTCACAGCAGCTGAGTGCTCATGTGGAACCAAACAGGGGAGGTAGATTGGGGTAGTGAGATGGATAGGCACACTCCCACCGGGCCTTGGCTGTGTTGTCAGAGGAGTGTAGATTGCATGACAAAACTGGGGGAGGGTGATGGTTGTGGTAGTCGGTATTACTTGGCAAGAAGATGTAAATGGAGCTGGCGCGGAGGGGAGTTCATCCCAGAAAATAAATTGCCCTCACTTCACAAGTATCTCTGTCCTCACTCAAAAGCACTGAGTGCTGCTTTGTTTTATATGCCAAGAAGCAGACATCTGACCTGGACTGTTGTTGTGATGTACAGCACAGACTGCTTTGACTTCTTTTATTATCTGTGACAATGATCATTATTCCAAATGATGAAGTGGAGGCCATTTTTCCTCTATCTTGTCTCTTGACTTTTCCTTGCAGACCAGAAAATAACCCTAACAAAGACGCAGAAGTAGCTTGATCAATAGTCACTGCACGAAAAAGGAAATATTCTCCTTCAACAAATGCTCAAACTTATATAATAATAATAATTGTATAATAATTGAACTCTATTGATCTCACACTGGAGAAATTTACCTCTGCATTTAACCCATCCCTTTGGCGAGCAGTGGGCTGCCATTGTGCGGCACCCGGGGAGCAGTGTGGGGTTAAAGGCAGGTTTATGCTCAGAAATCAAGTCGTCTGTGTGTGTGTGTGGGGGGGGGTGTTTGTGTGTGTGTGTGTGTGTGTGTGAGTGGTGGGGGCGTCGCATTCAAAACAGATATGATACAAGCACACTGCTTTAACCCACTAGAACACTCCCCACTCCAAATATTGTGTTAAATACAATTATGCATCAAGAGATCGCAAGTATAGGAAATGAGTGGTAAAGTTCAAATATCATGTGATGCATTAGGACAGGCGTTTTTATATGCTTACTAATAGGGCTGGGCGATAATTCAATAACGATATATATCGATCGATAGACGTGTGGCGCAATAGAAAAAAAGAGGGTTGATAAAAGTTCGATAAAAAAGAAACACAGTTTTCCTTCCTTCTCATTGTACCCTAGCATGTAGGTTTATGCTAGTCACTGCTTCCTCCCA